ACCCCAGGCCACCCCAATGATGCCCTTGACGTGATGGCCCGGTGCCTGGAGGCCGTACGGGTCTGGATGGGGAGAAACAGACTCAGGCTCAACCCTTCCAAGACCGAGTGGCTGTGGTTGCCGGCGCCCCGGCATAGTCAGCTGACCCCGTCGCTGACTATAGGGGGCGAAACTTTGGCCCCCTCGGAGAGGGTGCGCAGTCTGGGTGTCCTCCTGGACCCACGGCTGACACTAGAAGACCAGCTGACGGCCGTGGCCAGGGGGGCGTTCTACCGGGTACGCCTGGTTTACCAGTTGCGGCCTTTTCTGGACCAGGACGCCTTGCGCACAGTCACCCACACTCTTGTCACCTCCCGCCTGGACTACTGCAATGCTCTCTACATGGGGCTCCCCTTGAGGAGCACCCGGAGGCTCCAGCTAGTCCAGAATGCGGCCGCGCGGGCGGTGATGGGAGTGACTTGTCGCTCCCATATAACGCCGCTGCTGCGCGAGCTGCACTGGCTGCCGGTGGCTTTCCGGGTGCGCTTCAAGGTGCTGATTATCATCTTCAAAGCGCTCCATGGCATCGGACCTGGTTATCTCCGAGACCGCCTTCTGCCTCCAATTACCTCTCATCGGCCGATACGCTCCCACAGAGAGGGTCTCCTCAGGGTGCCGTCAGCCAGACAGTGCCGGCTGGCGACCCCCAGGGGGAGGGCCTTCTCTGTTGGAGCTCCCACCCTATGGAACGAGTTACCCCCAGAGATCCGGGTGATTCCGGATCTCCCCTCCTTCCGCCGCGCCCTCAAGACATGGCTATTTAAGTTAGCAGGACTGGCCTAAGGGTTATTTTAATTTGGTTTTAAAAAAAATTTTTTTTTCCGAACTTTCGGCCTTAGAATAATATTTTCATTTTAATTAATATTTTAAATTTTGTATTTTTGTATTCAAGTATTTGTTTTTAAATGGCTGTAAGCCGCCCTGAGTCCGTAGGGAGAAGGGCGGGGTAGAAATACAAGAAATAAATAAATAAATAAATAAACATGGCTACTGCCCAGCTCAGCGCAATGTTCCAGATTCTGGAAAGCCATTATAAGCCATAACCAACTTCATTCCATCCAGAACTCCACTATAGCTTCCTCTAAATCAGAGGTGTCAAACTTGCAACGTCACGTGACGTGTTGTGACGCATCGTGACTTTTTTGCCATTGCCGGCAATGGGGTGGGCGCAGTTTCACTATGATGCATCTGGTCCACGGGCTGGCAATTTGACACCCCTGCTCTAAATTGTGTTGCCTGCTTCACAGTGTGGCCTGAACAGAAGTAAGAGGCTAGGCCTCTGCTTGTTCATTATTGTATCAGTGTTTCAACTTTGATTAAACATGTTGGTTAAATAGAAAAAAAAGTAAAGCTGATAAAATTTTAAAGTAAAATGATGGTCGAAGATGATGGTCGAAGCAGATGCCATCTTACAGAGCAACATCATTCCAATTTGTCTGTTTTCTTTTAAACGATTTAAATGGTATGAAAACAATGTATTTCTCCAACATACAGTACTTAAAATTAGTATTTATTATTAATTTAAAATTAACAAATATTTAGTATTGCAAAAGTGCAATTACAAATGGGTCTGACTTTTCGGGCTGCGAAGACGAGGTTTATAATCTCTATCCATTAGCAGATTAAATCAAATATCTAAATCTGCAATTTCTCCAGATTTAGATGTGTCCCACTTTCCCATTCCAAATATATCGGGAATAAAAGGTAATAGGAATCAACCAAGTGAACGGTTTTGGACACCAAGCATATAATAAGGAGCATCCAACATTGCTGATTAACTCTCTTGAGATCACTTTCCTCTGAATTTTATTTTCCATTTTTTTAACCAAGGCTGAGAATCTTTGGCCTCGTGAAAGATTTGCCCAAAAGACCACTCACCTACCACAAGCGACCTGGGACACCTCACTGCCCATCAGCTCCAAAACTCTTCTAGGGTTGACTTCATCATTCAATGAATCATGACCAAGTTGCCCACATGACCCTGCACCAAAGGTAAACACTCCTCCATTCTGCAACAGAGATCACAAGAACATTTTCACTTAAGAGTAAAGCACCCACTGACACCAAATAATTTCCCTCTTCAAAACACTTAACCCAACAGTTCTGATAGACATCCCAACAACATTGTATACAAACTTTTGAATTCAATGATTTTAACTTAATAATTTTAAATTATGCAAAAGCAAGGAATGAAAAAGCAAGCACTGTATATTTTTTAGGCCTTAAACAAAGAACTAAGCCAGTGATGGCAAACCTTTTAGAGACCGAGTGCCCAAACTGCAACCCAAACCCCACTTATTTATCGCAAAGTGCCAGGGCTGCATCAGCATTGTGGTGCCCTCAGGGGGATGGGTGGGTGGGCGTGGCCCACTGGGTGGGCGTGGCTGCAGTGGTCACAGCAGACTGGGTGAGCATGGCCAGTCCCTCGCCATCTCTGGGGCATCCCCAGGGGGTCACCGCTTGCTCGCTCACTTCCTGCCCTGTCGCTTCCAAACGCCACATGCTCGCTACTCTGGTGAACTCTGCTGGGGCAATGGCACGCGTGCCCACAGAGAGGGCTCTGAGTGATGCCTCTGGCATGCGTGCCATAGGTTCGCCACCACTGAACTAAGCTATAAAGGAAAATATTTGTAGCTCAGCGTTGACATGAGGGGTGCTTGGTGCTCTCGGAGATTGCTCTGTTTTCTTGCAAACATTTAATTATCCAAATTAGGTAACATCATTAGTGCTGGTAAGGAGTGCTGTTTGCTGTCAGTTTATATTCTGGTGGCTTGCCTATCAGTGTTGGTGTGGGGGGATCTGAAGAGATTCTTTGATTGGGCTGTTTGCTATTGGCTTC